AATCTTAAGAACCCAGCTTAATCAAAGAGGAGAATAGAAAAATAGTTACCAAAGGCTGAGGAAGTGGGGGAAGAGGGAAGGATGGGAAAAGCCGGTGGGTATTGAGTTATTCTGAAAAATGAAACCGTAAAATAACAATAAAAATCTGTTAGTAAAGTAGAAGACTAATGAACTTCATTTTAAAAATTATAAAAAAACCAAACAAACAGAAAAACCTTCCGGGAACCTGGCACAGTGGCTCACAGCTTTAACCTCAGCACTTGGGAAATGGAAACAAGAAAACTGTTTTGAGTTCAAGGCCAGCCTAGGCTACACAGTGAGTTCCAGGCCAGCCTGCACTATTAAGTAAGCCTTTATCTTAATATATATATATATATTTTTTTTAATTATATATTATATTTTAAAATAAATACAAATTTAAAACATTTTTGTGGAGTCACAGCAATGGCGGCTCCTCAGGGCCAGCAAGTCTTGTTAGCAAGCGGTCCTTCAGCCTGGTGAGGACACGGGCAGGCAGGAGGAGCCTACAGAGAGCCTCTGAGCCACTTCTGCGGAATTCTACCTACATCCAAGAAACCTGCATTTTCCGGTGTGTTCCTGACTCAGTTCCCTTTGTTGGCAGGGGTGGGGAACGGGTGCGAGGTGCTGGGAATTGAACCTGGGGCCTCACACATGCTAAGGAAGCATTCTACCACTGAGCCCAGCCCAGCCCTCCCTAACTATTCCATTCCACCAGGGATTCATGAGTCCCACCAGCCTTGGCAAGGTACCGTTACCAGCACTTCTGATGGGGCAGCATGGAGCCCATCCCTACCTCAGAGGTCAGATCTGCAAACACCCTTTGCAGACTGCTTTCTGGGAGTCATGCTGTTCACATACCGCACCGAACCACAGAGAAATAACGACTAACAACCAAACGTATTTCAGAGGTTCGGGACACGTGAGCAGTGGGCATTGCCGAGAAGAACCACTTTTCCACTCAGGGTCGCTTCAGCAGCCCGGAAGGCTTGTGCCGTCTGTAGCCCAGGTGACTCCCACAGCCGGGCTGCTCTCCTTACACCAGCACTGCGGACCAAGTCCAGGACTGGAGCCGTGAAAGCCAGGCTTTCTCCTACACACGCTATAAATATTTCATTCCCTACATGAAGATACCAGCCCCCACATGTTATTAGAGGTAAACAAAAAAACAACACAGATAAGTTTTACCTCCAATATGATAGTAAAAAACTAGCTGAAACCAGTCTCAACCCACATCATGAGTTTTGGGGAGAAATACCTGTTCTCTTTCCAGGACTTTTCATTGGAAGTGTAAATAACTATACAGAGGTAAAAAATACAGGGCTCCCAGGACAGGGACAACTTACAGGGACAACTTACAGGGCAAGTTGTCCTTCACTGTGGAAGGGCTTGGAAAGGAGCAGGAGATTTAAAGGGAAGGTTTAGGAGCAGAGTGAAGGGTGCCCAGGAAGGAAGGGTGCCCATGCCCAACACCGGCAGTATGAGCAGGCTGCTGCCTCCAGCTTTGGCCAATGCCATCCCGACGTTTTAGAAAATATTAACAAGCCCAACTTAACAGACACCTTATTGTAGCCATTTGGCTCATTTCTCCAGGCTTTATTCCCAGAACACACTCTGCAAAGCTGAGCTGGAGTGGAGTTAGGATTACCAAACTCAGTACTCCCTTCAGACTCAAACCAGGGCAGCAAGAGGAGCAGCAAATTTACAAAAATGCTCGACTGCAAAGAGTATATCTCTGAAAAGAGCTGAGGGGCGGGAGACTGCACAGTCAACCAGAAACAACCTGTGCCAAGGCTCACGCAACGCCACTCCTACGTGTTGATAGCACGCGCGCGCACACACACACACACACACACACACACACACACACACACACACACACACACTCAATTAGGCAGCCTCTCCACCGAGGGTACAGGTCTCACGAGGAAATGCAATCTACCAGATTATTTGACAGGCTTATTTTCAAAATCTGGCTTTGACTCTTAAATAATCAAAGCCTCAGTGAGCAAAGATGGGCACTGCTCCAATGTCACATCTATCAAGTCTGCCTAAGGAGACCAATCCAGATTCCCAGAGGCCGAGGTGGTCACTGAAAACTGCACTGCCTCATCTAGAAGAGCCTGGATTCCCTAGGATGTGAAAAGTGCGTCTGTCGCCCACGGGAAGCTGCCCCCCCCCGCCCCCCGCTCCCCAGTACCGAGAGCTGCCTTCCTTCTGTGGATCCTTGGGGGACGTCAGGCCTTCTCCAGAGGGGGCGCGCCCTTGCCATGTCTTTGGGTATTCCCAAGAAATTAAGCCCCATGGAAACTGGTAACACAGGGAAGGGAAGGGAGAGACCCTGAACAGAAGTATCGAGTTTTGTCTCGAGTTTTGTGCCCCAATTCACACAAAGTTAATGAGTAGAAAAAATAATAATAATCTTGGACTCTCCTGCTCCCAGGCTCTTTCCTAAAATCTCCAAGCATCCGGGTTCCTGTTGCCCAGGCAAAGCAACCGCCCTCCCCTTTTGCACCTGGGCGCGGACGCCCTACCTGCCGAGCTGTCTGGGCCTTCTCTGTCTGTCCGGCCTGGCTCCCCCACACCTTGCTGGCGGTCGTTGTCGCAGCCTCCTTGGTCCAGGCGCGCCTCGGCGCTGGAGCAGCAGTAGCGCAGCGCACAGCTGCCGCAGCAGATGGTGGCGTCGCCGCCGTCGAAGCGCTCGGGGCACTGGAAGCCGATGCGCCAGACGCCCTGCGCGTCCAGCCAGCCGTGGCAGTACTCGCCGCTGGCCCACGCCCCCGCCGCCAGCAGCGCGGCCAGCAGCAGCTGCAGCAGCGACGCGCGGTGCCCAGAAGAAGTGGTAGGGGAGCCGCGTCCGCCCCACATGGCACTGCCCTGGGTGGAGGTGATGTCTCTAGAGGACGTAGATCTCCCCCAAGAAGTTATGGCTCGGCGACGCCAGGGACCTTCCGGTCGAGCCACTCCCCTCTGTCGCGACGCCCAGGCTGCAGAGCCAGGGTCTAAGTCATCCCTCCTTGCTAGAGAGCGGGTCCCCGCTACACTCGGCCTTTACAGCGGCATCACGGAAGGAACGTTCCCAGAGGCTTGGCGTGCGATCCGACCTTCCCTGTGCATCCCCGAGGGGACGCTCCGCTGCCCACCAGGAGCCAGGCCGCCGCTGGAGCGGATCAGCGTCGGAGTCCAGCGCGAGTGGGGTGCGTCTCCCCCTCTATTCACCTCCGGAGCGAGAAGCAGCAAAAGAAGCGGGCAGTGGGCGCAGAGCTCCCGGCGGCAAGTGCAGCAGCCCGCCGCGCTCCAGCTCCGCGGCTCGGGGCTCGATCCTCCTCATGGCTCCGGCCACCGCTCGGGACGCTGCGAGTGTCCGCACCTCCCCAGCAGTCCCGGAGCCCGCCCGGCTGGCGGCGGCCGCGGCTGCTGCTGGGCGCGGGGCCAGCGGGCTGCCCGCCCCGGCTCCCGCTGCAGCTCGCGTCCCGTCTCCTTCTCCCTGTCGGGGGTGCGTCCCGGACAGTGCGCTCCGGTGGGAGCCGCCCACGGAAGTTTCAGTCCCTCGGGCTACGGGAGCGGAGGAGCGCGCGGCCGCCCCACGTTAGCCTTGCACGGCTGCAAGCCAGCTCCGACTGCCGGGCTGCGCGGTGCGCTCCCCTCTTAAGAGGGGCTGGCGACTCCCCTGCGCGCATGCGTGCTGCGAGGGCTTCCCTCCGCCTTGGGACGCCAGGGGACTCCCGCAGCCCTTCACTTTCCTACACCAGAGGTGTGGCGGTGGCCAGGCAGCAGCGGTGCGAGTGAACTGAACAGACGTGTAGGAAAACGCGTTTTAAGTCAGCCACGGCTTGGAAGAACAATTACAGCAAGGATAACAGAAGCAAAAGTTGAGTGCGAATCTTCGACCTCCAACATTCAGAGTTACTTTGACAACCCTCCAAAGGATAATTACTACTTACTTTCCATGTTACAGACGACCCAGTCGTCACTCAGACTTGTCTTGCCCAGCTTCCAGCCTCCAGGCTCAGGAAGAACACAAATGCGATCCGAGCTGTGTGCGTGGCCCCCTGGTGCCACTGCACCGCTGAATGAAGAGGTCAGCAGGGACATCAATGATGTGGTCACTGTCTAAATGAGCTATGCCACTTTATTTGGCCTCCCCTTCCCCCATAGCTGGGTGTGGTGATTGGTGAAGTCCAGCAGAAAGGTGCCCCCGAGAAACATTTGACCTCGGCGGTGGCTTAGACAGACAGCTGCAGCCAGGAAGAAGGCAAGGATCCAGACGCCAGAGATTCTGAGAAGGAAGGAATAGCTCCACTCTTGCAGAAGCTGAACAGGTGCTCGTGCTATTGAAGTAGCTAGCGCGGAGTATTTTTAAAGAAACTACTGTGCCTTTCTCAGTCAAAGTCAGTCCATAAATTCTAGATCCAGCCCCTCAAGTAGGGGCCCTCACTTGTTGCTGGGCTCTGTTTCTTCGCTCAGTTAACCATCTGTGGTTAACATCAATGTCCCGTTCAGGTCCGCGGCTATCGAATACAAAGCAATTTTATCCGTAGCAAAGACATTTTGGGTTAAACCATGATAGGGCTCTTCATGCAACCCCTCACCTCAGACACTGAGAATTAGCCTTTCTGTCGCCGCCCTGAAAAATGTTCACAGAGACGATTGTACCGTTTGTGCCTGTACCCACAAAACACATTATTCTTGTCGTTTAAGATAAATGCATGGACCCCCAGGGCTCGTGCCTGGGAAGCAAGCGCTCTACCACTGAGCTCCACCCCAGTCCTGAAATCCCGTATTTTAAATGAACCAAATGCCAACCTTCTATAAGATAAGAAATGAACAAAACTTCAACATCAAGGGGCCATTCATTTCCTAAACACATTCTGTGCGGCATCCTGGAGATTTACCTTGAAGCCAGACACCTTAGCCATTTCCCTCAAGCAGGGTGGTCTCCCACCCACATACTAACTGGGCCCAACCCTGCTTAGCATGAGAGATCAGATGACTGACATTGGGCACAATCAGGATGATATGACCATAAACTCAGCAGACCCTAAAGTCTCTGAGTTAAGAGAAAGGTTGGACTGAAATATAATCAAACAAGTAAAAATAATACAAGTATGATGGGATCTACCAGCAGCAATATACTGGACCAATTTGTGTGTGAGGGATGGGTATGTTCATGTATGTCCTCATATATGGGCATGGGTATGGTGGCCAGGGGTTGATGTCAGGCCTCTTTCTCAATTACTCTCCATTTTGAAACATCTTACTGAACCTGGAGCTCACCAATTGAGCTAGATTGGTTTTGGCTTATAAACTCCAGAGATTTGGCTGTCTGTGCTCCACCCCCACCCCACCCCACACACACACACACACACACACACACACACACACACACACTGTAATGGGGTTGCAGACTCATGCCACCACACTTACCTTTTTTGGTAGGTGTTGGGGATTCGAACTCAGGTCCTCACACTTATATAGCGCCTACTTTACTGACTGATCCATCTCCCTGCCCCTTTACAGGGCCAGTTGAAACACACAATCTGACACTGGGTTGAGAGGAAAGGCCCAACAAAACATCAGAGAACTGCTATTTAAATTTAGACCGGGGGAAGCCAAGGTTTGTTAGAGGGAGTTAGTCTCTTGGTCAATACCGTTGGCTACCATCTACTGGGAACTTGCTATATTCTAGGCACCATGTCAAGAGTTTCACATCTGCAGCTTCATTTAATCCTCACAACCACCCTATAAGGAAGATATTACTTTGCTCATTTTATTGGTGAGGATAAATTTCCTGGCCCACATGGACAGAAAACGTCAGTTTTTCTGGACTCACTCATTTCTTGCTTGACTCCAAAGCCCATTTACTAACCTGCTGTCACCACAGTGTATAACACGAATTGCTAAATGGTCTTTTAATAAAAACCTGGAGCCCAATATTGAGGTGAGTGTTGAAAGATCAGAGAGACAAAGGAACAAGCCACCTCTTACCTCTAGGACTCCTCAGCCTGAACAGCTTTCCTCAGCTGAAAGACTTTCTTTCCTGTCTCTTCACGCCTTATGTACCTTTCTCTGCCCACCCGTATCATTTCCTGTCTCAACTTTCCTCGTGCTGGGATTAAAGGCATGTGACTCTCAAGTACTGGGATTAAGGGTGTGTGCCACCACTGCCTGGCTCTTTTTCCTCTCCTGGACTGAGTCAATCTCATGTAGTCCAGGGTGGCTTTAAACTCACAGAGATCCAGATGGATCTCTGCCTCCCGAGTGCTAGGATTAAAGGCGTGGCCACTACTGCCTGGCCTCTGTGTTTAATCTAGTGGCTTGTTTTGTTCTCTGATCTTCAGGCAAATCTATCAGGGTACACAGTATATTACCACAACAGTGTCCATTTCTCATGTTAGTGTATGTTGATTCACCTGGTATTCTGAGGGTTAAATACTTTTCTAAAATTTTTGTTTTTTAATTGTGTGTATAAGGGTGTGTCTGTAAGTGGGTATGTACACATGTGAGCTCAGGAACCAGAAGAGGGCATTGGATCCACTGAAGATGAAATTACAGGCCATCATGAGCTGGCCCTTGTGAGTGCTGGAAAACTAACACCAACCTTCTACAAATGGGTTAGCACTTCAAGTATTTTCTTTAATTGCTGTTTGATACAAGATAATTGTACTTAGTGCAGAGAGCACTTGTTCCATACTTCCCCTTTCTCTCCCATTTATGTGAGTCTCTAAAACCCATTGTTTGTCCAGAACTCATGAAGAAATTGCTGGACATTTCACATTGAATTGGTCAGATAGTTTGGTTGTATCATGGTTTAAGTACAATGTTGTTGGGGTTTTTCCCAAATAGTCAACAGTCTATAATTGGTAAATTTGGAAGTATGGGTGCTGTGGGATGTCTTTCTGTATGCTGTGAATATGTGTTGCTATGATTGGTTAATAAGAAGCTGCTCTGGCCTATGGTGAGTCAGGAGATAGCCAGGCAAGAAATCCAAGAGAGAGACAGGAAAAAGAAAGGCAGAGGTAGAGGAGACGCCATACTGCCGTCCAGGGAGGAGCACGTAATGGCACACAGGTAAAGCTACAGAACACATGAAAACATATTGGTTAACAGAAATGGGCTGAGTTAAGTTATAAGAACTAGCTAGCAAGAAGCCTGCCTTAGGCCATGTGATTGGTAATTAATATAAGCCTCTGTATGTTTATTTGGGTCTGAGTGGCTGCAGGACCAGATGGGACACAGGAAAACTTCCAGCTACATATGGGACTTTGAGGAGATTCATTCTCTTTTTTAAACAATCATGCAACCCTTTGTTTCTCTTTATTTTTAACACAGTGCTGGGGGTTGGACCCAAAGTCTTATCCATTCTAAACAGATGCTCTGCTATTGAGCTACATCCCCTTAAAATTAAGGGAGACTTGTTTAATTGTGACTTGATGTGATAATTGTCTTCAGTGTTCAAAGGTCCTACTCATTCTCTCCCATCTTCTGGTTTGTTTTAATTTTTACTGTGTACCCAACATGCTGTATAGAAACTTTATAAACTAACTTATCAATTGCTTTTCTATTGTGGAGGCTATAAAGAGGACTTAAAATGATCTTGCTCTTTCCAGAGGAAACACAAATTCCGTCACTCTTCTTAACAGGCTGCAAACTTACTCTATTATTCTCTTCTGAGACACCAAAACTAGCTATCAGAGCATCTAAGTAGTAGCAATAATACTTTTTTTGTTGTTGTTTTTAAAGATTTATTTATTTATTTATTATGTATACAGCATGTATGACTGCAGGCCAGAAGAGGGCATCAGATCTTGTTACAGATGGTTGTGAGCCACCAAGTGGTTGCTGGGAATTGAACTCAGGACCTCTGGAAGAGCAGTCAGTGCTCTTAACCTCTGAGCCATCTCTCCAGCCTGCAATAATACTTTATTATAATCAAAACCAAAATTCAGACAGTCTGACCAAGACATATTTAAAATATGTAAAAGTGTGATCCCTTGCTTTAAAAACCAGAATTCTGTAGAACACTCTCATGTTATGTTTCCTTTCTGTGTGTGCATATACATATGCATTTATATGAATAAAATAGTTGATTTTTTTTTTAAAGAAACTTCCAATCTTGGTCTCGGGTGGGAGGTCATAGGCACAGCCGTACTAGAGAAGTCAATAAGCCGGTTGTCCGAGGCTGGATTTGTCGCAAAACCTATGTGACCCCAGGAGACCCTTGGAGAAATCGAGTCTCAACCAGGAACTGATGCTGATGGGAGACTGTGGGCTATGGGCTCCAGAACAAATGTGAGGAGAGGAGGATCAAATTGACCCTGGCCTAGATCTGCAAGGCTGCCCTTGAGCTACTGATGCTGGACTGAAAGGAACCATAATGTCTTGTTTTTAGGACAATGTTCTGCTAAGACAACTTGTGTGCATTGGGGTGCTGGATGAGAGCAAGATGAAGCTAGATTACATCCTGGGCCTGAAAGTCGAGGAATTTCACTGAAAGGTTGCTGCAGACCCAGGTTAGATTTGGACCTGGCCAAATCTATTCACCATGCCCGCATGTTCATCTGCCAGCGTCATATCAGGGTCTGCAAGCAAGTCGGTGCACATCCCATCCTTCTTTGTCCATCTGCCCAGAAACACATTGACTTCTCCAGCTCCGTTCTCCTTCTGGTGGCCGCTCAGGCCATGGAAAGAGGAAGACCGCCAAGAAAGGCTAGGGTAGCGCTAGAGCAGGTGATGATGAGGAAGAGGATTAAATTAATACCTCCCTGGACTGGAGGATTGTCTAGTTTTCCAGCTGACTAATAAAACAGAATCAACACTTGAAAAGAGAAAGAAAAGAAACTTCTGACATTTTGCTACTACCTGTTGAAGATCATGTATTTAAAGAAATAACAGGGGATGGGCTGTAGCTCAGTGAGAGAGCACTTGCCTAGCAAGTACTACAAGCCCTGGGTTTGATCACCAGCCCTCCAAAGCTAATTAATTCATTATGATAGTCCTAAGCTTGCTACCTCGAGTTGATATGAGTCCTATGGAGGTAATCGTGTTTCTGTTGGCTGGTAGTCATAAAAGCTGCAAGCTCCACCATGCTTTTCGGTGAGTTTTAGCAAGACTCTCACCTTCTGCACACACAGCAACAGTCTGTTAAAGGAGAACAATTTCATGTTCATTCCTTCCCTTCTCTTCTCATGAACAGGAGCAATGTTGCAAATTTCACATTTGTTTCACTAAATGTTCCTTTAAGCTCAACTATTGGCGTTACCCAATACAAACTCAAATCTAAACAATTATGTTAATTTACATTTTTTTTGTTACTTTAGCTCTACATCTTGCTCCATCATTTTATCTAACCCCTATTGGGATGTTTACTGTTTTATATTTTCTCTTTGGAAATATGGAGTTAGAAGTCATCCAAGACTTTTGTATACATGAAGACAAAATCACCTAGTATATTAAAAAAAAATGATTGCAGTGGGGCTGCTGATGGGTAAAGCAGTTGTTATGGAAACATGAAGACCAGAGTTTCTCTTTAAAGTCCACTGCTGCTGTAGACTATAACCCCAGCAGGTCTGTCTACTGGCTACCAACAATGTAGGAGGCTTTTTTTGGACCACCAGCCCCCCAAATCATGACACAGAGACTTATTATTAATTATGAAACCTCAGCCTTAGCTTAGGCTTGTTTCTAACTAGCTCTTATAACTTAAACTAACCCATTTCTTTTCATCTATGTGCTGTCACGTGGCTCATGGCTGTTACCTCTCCTCCTGCATGTCCTGCTTCCTCTGTGTCCAGCTGATGACCCCCCTTTCTTCTTCCCTGAGTCCCCCTCTCTGTTCCCAGAAGTCCCGCCTAACCTCTTCCTGCCTAGCTACTGGCCATTCAGCTCTTTATTAAACCAATCACAGTGACACGTCTTCACACAGTGTAAAGGAATGTTCCATAACACCACAATCCTAGAATTTAGGAGACAGACTGGACAGAATTTG